GTGTTTCTCTTAGAATTGATTTCTAGTTTTATTCCACTGTGGTTTTAGAAGATACTTGGTATGGTTTCTATTTTTTTCTTTTTCTAATTTGCTCAGACTTGTTTTGTGGCCTAAGATATTATCAATCTTGAAAAATGTCCCAGGTGTTGATGAGAAGAATGTATATGTATTCAGTAGCTTTTGGGTAGAATGTTCTGTAAATGTCTAAGTCCATTTCTTCTAGAGCCCCATTTAAGTCCAGCATTTCTTTGTTGACTTTCTGCTTCAATGTTTTGTCCAGTTCTGTCAGTGTGGTGTTGACATCCCCAGCAATTATTATGCTACTGTTTATTTCTTTTCTTAGATCTAGTAGAATTTGTTTTTTATGAATCTAGAAGGTCTTGTGTTAGGTGCATGTATATAAAGAATTGTTATGTCTCTTGCTAAACTGCTCCCTTTACTACTAAATACTGATCATGTTTGTCTTTTTTCCCCACCATTGTTGATTTAAGGTCTATTTTATTTGATATGAAAATGGCTACACCTGCTCATTTTTGGTTTCCATTTGTGTGGAATATTTTTTCCCATCCCTTAACCTTGAGTCTGTGCAAGTCTTGTGGGTTAGATGTGTTTCCTGGAGACAGAAAATACTTGAGTTATGTCTTTTTCATCCATTAAGCTAATCTGTTTTTTAAATAGGGCATTCAGACCATTCATGTTGAGTGTTGGTATTGATATGTGGTATACTGTTCTGTTTATCATGTTGGATGATACCTATTGTTTTGTTTTTCTCTTGTGCTATTGTCTTATGAAAGTTGTGAGCTTTTTTTTTTCTTTAAAATGATCATGTATGTAGTGCAAATAATGGCTTCTGGTAGTTATAAAGCATTCCTGAATTATAGACCGGGGCTATACGTTTAACAAACTCGCTTTACATAAATCATACAATATTTAAACTTAATACAGAAATTCAGAGTTAGGGGAGGCAAGTCCTGCTATATAGTATTTAAAACATCTCATTCTTATATTTGACATTTCCCAAGAAATGTCACATTTTTGACTAATGATTAGCAAAAGAATACAACCACAACTAATTTAATAGGAGCCTGAGAAAAATATTTCTTAAAAAAAATAACACAGGCTGGGCATGGTGGCTCACGCCTGTAATCCTAGCACTCTGGGAGGCCGAGGCTGTCGGATTGTTTGAGCTCAGGAGTTCAAAACCAGCCTGAGCAAGAGTGAGACCCCGTCTCTACTAAAAATAGAAGGAAATTAATCAGACAACTAAAAATATATAGACAAAATTAGCCGGGCATGGTGGCGCATGCCTGTAGTCCCAGCTACTCGGGAGGCTGAGGCAGGAGGATTGCTTGAGCCCAGGAGTTTGAGGTTGCTGTGAGCTAGGCTGATGCCACGGCACTCACTCTAGCCCAGGCAAAAGAGTGAGACTCTGTCTCAAAAAAAAAAAAAAAATCACACAAATATATTACTATTTTATATACATTATAATCAGGTCTAAGCACAGTTTTTACATTGTGTTCAGTTATATGCTAAAGTTGTGAATTTAAAAGCTTAGCACGATTGGTGAAATAAACAATAACAAGGAAAGCAAGTTCACATGTTAGTATTACACATTTTTTTTTCAATTACCTAGTAGAGAAAGCAGTTCAAGGGCTCACAGGCAAATGTAACACATTTTTTATTTTTCACAGTTACTTAAATCAGTCAAATATTAAATAATTTAATTCAGAAGTATTACTTATGCACACAAGCTTGAAAAATAAATGATGAAATATTACATTTACTTATTTACATGTTGCCCATAACACTGGTGGGCTTTTTTTAATGCTTTGTTTTCTAAAAGTTTTATTGTTTCTAAACAAACAAAAATACATTTGTACTCACCATCAAATTGGTACTAACTGATCAACACTAGGTTGCTCACATGGCAGAAATACTCTCTAGGGATT